AGGTTCAGTAACTGAGTTCACTGAAACGGTCAGCTGATGCATTCAAAGGAGAAGGCCATAAAGACTTGTGGACGTGTACATAAGTGCTTGTGAAGTTTGAGGGGTCAGAGGGTTGACTATTAAAACGCTCCCCTGGAATTACAGGAATCTCACAGCTGTCTTCTCGGAGCTGAAACATCCCCCACGGTCCCTCATGGTTCAGGAAGTAAACAAAACAGAACTTCAAAGTCTCAGGAAGGTCCTGAGACTTAGGAAATGCCCAGGCCCCTCCCTATGGTTAAAGCAAGAAGTAACAGTTGCTGGAGAGAGGAGGCTCTCAGTTGCACCCAGCTTCCTTCAAATCATCCAGAGAGTTCCAGGTTTTCATAACTTGTTGTCCATGGTGGGGCGAACTTTTGGTGACTTTGAGACACCCATGCTCCTCTCTCACTAACCCACACCCTTACTCACGAAGCTGAGCTTGGATGGTCCTTTCTCTGGTCTGTTAGTACTCTATACAGAGTGGACAAATCTTTGTTCCCTGGAAAATGTCACACAACATAGAGAAAAAGGATTGATGAGGCTATAGGCAATCTTAGAGGGGTAGCAAATTGCTTTAGGTGAATTAAATGAACTGAGAAACCAAGAGCATCCCGAGACTTGGATTTGAAGTGTGGTTTGATTTTTCAGTGTCTTCTCTAATGACTAATCCTTCCTGGCTAAGGAAATTTCAGTAGGACAATTGTGAGCAATTATAGAGTTCCTGTTCGGCAGATCTGGAGTGTGGAAAGACAGCCTCTCCCTGTGCTTCAGAAGAAGGGAGGACCAAAAGAAGAGTGTAGTTTGAGAAATTGCCAAAAACACTTTTGTAGATGGAAATTTCTGTCCTGCCCTGTCCGGCAGCTGTTCAGTCCCAAATAAACACACAGAGGCTTTATATTAATTATAAACTACTTGACCTATTGCTCGGGCTTATTACTAACAGACTTTACAACTTAACTTAACCTATAATTCTTTTTTTAATAAATCTTTTTTAATATTTTGTATTTATTATGTATACAGTCTTCTGCCTGCATGCCAGCAGAGGGCATCAGATCTCATTCAATATGGTTGTGAGCCACCATGTGGTTGCCAGGAATTGAGCTCAGGACACTGGAAAAACAGTCAGTGCTCTTAACTACTGAGCCATCTCTCTCCAGCCCAACCTATAATTCTTACTCATGCTTAGCCACATGGTTTGGTACCTTTTCTCAGTAGGGCATCCTTATGTTGCTTCCTGGCTGGAAACAACTCTCTCCTTTCTCTTCCCAGAGTTCTGCTAGTCTGATCACCCCATCTATACCGCCTGCCTGGCTACTGGCCAGTCAGGATTTTTATTAAATTAATACAAGTGACAAGTCTTTACAGTGTACAAAAGCATCGTCCCACATCACACTCTGATTCTGATATTGTTTTTCCAACTCTGTTTGTCAAATGCTACACTTTGGGGTGTCATTTTTCTGAGCCCCAGGAAAAAAATACAAGCTATTTTTCTATATATTTGTAGTTCTAACCCTCAACACAGGACACTTGTAGTCACCAAAATGTGCGGATGTTGTCAAACCCACACAATTGTTACAGTTGGACTGGTGTCCTTCAATTAAATTCAATTCTAACACTAATCAGAATTAGCTGAGAAGCTGCGGGATAGTAGCTGAAGTCCACAGACTTTCGCTGACCTTAGCCACAAGTCGCAAAAGTAGTTCCTAAGTTATCCATAACTTCTGCCTACGTATCAGTTTCCCAAAACCCTCTCCTAGGGTCTGACCATTTTCCAGACTAGTTCACAGAACTCAAGAATGTACTTCAATCCTGTTACCCACATATTATAAAAAGATACAATTGAGGAATAACCCAGATGCATTCTTAGGCAAAATTTCATAATCTAGGTCTAATTGCTACTTGTGACTAAACGTAATAAAAAGTGGATTCTTTAGAAATATTCTGTAACTAACACTGCTTTCTCAGACGTGATGTTTTCTCCATCCCAATTTGTCTCAGTGACTGTCAAGAGCAACAAATCAAGACCATTATTATTGTATTGGTTTGCTGAGCCTTGTCTATCATAGATATATAACAGTTTAATCTGTAAATGGTTTTATTGTCTCCTTGAGTTTTATTAACAATATAACTTGCTACTGTTTATCAGTTTATTTCAATATATGAAGTAAACTTTAAAGTTCCCATTCACTTTTCATAACTTATTTATGATGTAAAAATTATTATTCCAACTGGGCAGTGGTGGAGCACACTTTAATCCCACCACTCGGGAGGCAGAAGCAGGTAGATCTCTGAGATTTCAAGGCCAGCCTGGTCTACGAAGCTACACAGAGAAACCCTATCTTGAAAAAATAATAAAAAACAAGAATTATAAACCCGTTTTAGGAATTAAGTGTCTGTTTTGTACATGTCTGTAACTCATATCCACAGAAGATTCATATTATGAATTATAGTAGTCACCTCTGTCCTTTATAGAGACAGAATGGAATCATGTTAAAATAATTAATAGGTCTAGTCATTAGGATTAGATGTTAAACACTGCAGATTTTATATCTACATGTGGTGGATTTTTGTAGGAGTACTGAAATTTGTTCTAGCATGTTGTGACTTAGACACTGTCTTTTTTTTTAATTTGTCATTTATTTTCCTCAGGATGGACCAAAACAAGCTACTAATCTCAGGCTAGCAAAAATGGCTTACCAGGTAAAGGCACCTGCCTCCCACCCTGATAGCCTGAGTCTGATCCCTGGAACCAACATGATGGAAGAAAAGAACTGATTCCCACAAGTTATTCTCTGACTTCAACATACACTCTGTCTCTCTGTCTCTCTTTATCTCTCTCTCTCTCTCTCTCTCACACACACACACACACACACACACACATACACACACTTTTTTTAAGAAAACAATTTTTAAATTTTAAGAAAAAAGAATCTGTTAATCTAAAATTGACATGGTCCTAAAAGTGACACACTTCTACACTTCTTGGAGCTCTAATCAACGTTCCAGATCTTACAAGTTTCCCCTTCTCCGTTGGGACTAGAGACACAGGCCAGCGTGAACTCCAGAAACAATGGGGTCAAGCTTTCTGGAGGTCTCTCCGTGAACTCTAGGTCCTTCTCCTGCCTGTGCAGAAGTCCCTAGCAGCAACGAGGGAGTGATCTGGCCATCTGAGCAGTCATTCCGTTCCTGCCCCTCCTCTTGTGCTCTGCCTCAAGAAATACTCCCCACATCCCATCCTCCCTCCACATCCCCGTGACTCCGTAAGACATTTGAGCTCTACCCTGGAAACTGCCTCTAGACGAGAAGCTAGATCAGCTAAAGGATTCAGTTTATTGATTATCCTTTTCTAGATTATGCCCATCTACTTCCTCTCACACAAAGTCTAGAAACCCCTATCGCATATGTTTTATGCATTTTGTTATCGCCAACTGTTTTTTTTCCTGTAATGTCTCTGATTTAAAAATGTAAAAATTAAAAGAGAGGGAGCCTGCAACCCAATCTAAATAGCCTCTTGTGTTACTGGTGACTGTTAGAAGCACACTGATGACAGAAACCACATTCTGCTTCTTAAGTGATTTCCTCAGCCAAGCAGAATGACTGCGCCCCGAAAGGGTCAACAAGAGCAAAGTTTTCTCTTCCCAGCTCTGCTCCGTCTTGACACTCCCAGCGCTGCAGTGGATCAGAGCCTATCGAGGGAGACAGGAAGCCGTCAGACAACAGCTGAAGGCAGACTTCTTCTGTGCTGTGGTCTGTGGCATGGTTATTAGAAACCAGGAAACTCTCGAAGAATAAATTGGCAAAAGTAGCCCTTCGTACTAAGCTAGATGGCGTCTACTTAATAGCATGTCAAACTCCAGTGGTTAAGTTGTTCTTAGTAATTTGTAAATTATGAACCATTACCACATTTGCTTGTTTCCTTCAAACTTGCTCTAGCCTGGTACATGCTCACGCCTCTCCTCTCTCTCTCTCTCTCTCTCTCTCTCTCTCTCTCTCTCTCTCTCTCTCTCTCTCTCTCTCTCCCTCCCTCCCTTTTATCCTCTCTTTCTAACTCTGTCTCTCCTCTCTCTCTCCTTATCTTTGTCTGTCTGTCTGTCTGTCTGTCTCTCTCTCTCTCTCTCTCTCTCTCTCTCACACACACACACACACACACAGAGTCTCTTTTTTGTATACGCCCTAAGTTGTCAGCCAATCGTATGGAGTCTAACATAAAACTGAGCCAGATGCCGCTCTCCTTCACTACCCTCTGATCTGACTGCCGCACTTTGGATTACTTCCACAGCCTCCTCGGAACCTGCTTCTAAACCCAGCACCACCAGAGGCTGTGGCTCACTTCAGGGGCCTCTGACCCACACCTCTCAAGCACCCTTGCAGAAACCTCAAGACCAACAGGCTCAGGCAAGTGGTACTGCCCGCTCAGTCACAGCTATTTTAAAGAGCAGGCTCCAAGGAAGATGGAGGCTTACAGAAGCAGATGCTAAGTTTGCACCCCACCTGTTCTCGCCATCAAAACCCATCCCAGTGCAGAAGGAATAAGCTGTGTAACAACTACCATGACAAAGAACCCTTTATCCATTTTGTATAAACCCACTGTTGCTGTAAAATGAATCGCACGCTTGATGAGGGTACAGGTAACTATGTATTGTGGAAGGTACTTACAAGAGAAACTGGCAACCCAGGCGAGTCAGCAGCATTCTGAGACCGGACCAGAAGCCCAAAAGACAGCGGGCATCTCTCCCGCACAGCCTTTTATCCCCACATCCATACGCTCCTCTAGCCACGCCCAAGGCAGGCGTGGTCAGAGGTACAGGTATCTAAGATCTCTTCCTACAATTCCCCTTTTAGTCTAAAGAAGATATTTCAACTTAAAACAAAATTGTGTCAATATACAAAATATCTCAAACATATGTAAGCATATATCTCATATGTAGAAGATAATAGGGATATTTATGCATAGAAAGAAGACTTTACACAGTATGACGAATTGTGATAAACAAATTATAAATCACCAGAAGATATAATAATCTACCTATATACCATCCTAAGCATATATAGTCCCTCTAAACCTAAACTTATCTGAAAGAGATGCCCAAGTCTGAACACCTCCTTCCAATCCCAACCCTAAACTATGGAAAACTACCTCTAAACAAGTGTAAATTATCATGTAATCAACAGTAGGGAAAGGGGGCATAGTATTCTCAGAACTACTTCCTGCTGGAATGGGATGATGATAACCTCATGGGATCCTGTAGGAAGAAAATGTTAGTGCAGTGAAAGTCTCCAGTGGACTGGCAACAACATTTGTACCCGGTCTCTGTTTGGCGGGAGATGCTTGATTGAAGTCCTTGACTGAAGTTCTAATCTTGATTGAAGCTCTTATCTGAGGCTCTGGCCAGAGGGTAGAAGGCACACCATATCAGTTAATTCATCTGGAGTTGTGTAGAGCGATGTAGTCCGGAATCAGTTTCAGTGTGGTGTTTGTCAGTTCAGAAGCATCAAGTCAGATGACAAAAGCTTAAAAGGGGTTTTAGAAACAAACAATAGAGAGAGGGAGGGGGAGGGAGAGAGAGAGAGAGAGAGAGAGAGAGAGAGAGAGAGAGAGAGAGAGAGAGAGAGAGAGAGAGAGAGAGAGAGAGAGAAGCACGGGTTCCTTGGTAGCAGCATTTTTCTCAGGTGGGCTCTGTTTTGCTAGAGACAAGCAGACTCACATGGCTCCCTTAAGGGAGTCTTCCTGACTGGGTATAAAGGATGAGCCAGATTGGGGGGGGCGGGTAGGGGGGTGACGGGAGGACCTGACTGCAAGGCTCTTTTAAGAGGCCCTGCCAACAACAGAATGGTGTGCCCAAGCAGCTGGCAGTGGCAGTGACCACATCTCCAAGCCGGATAGACTATGGTGGTGAGCACAGCTCCCAATGCTGGCAGCAAACTCACGTTGGCTGGTCATGTTGAGAGCCAGCGGCTGCTTCCTCTTTTACTTTAGCAGTGTTGTTTAGCAGATAAAAGACACGTGGCCTGAAAAACATAAAGATTTTCAGTAAAGTCAGATTCAGGTGAGGTAAAATCTCTAAAAGGTTTATAGTGTGTTTAAAAAATGTATAGTGTGTTTAAAAATATACATAGGCTTGGGAGAGAAAAAGAAACAGGATGGTGGAAAAAAAAACATGAGCAAAGAGAGTAGCCTGGTGGTGGTGGCACACGCCTTTAATCCTAGCACTTGGGAGGCAGAGGCAAACAGATCTCTGATTTCCAGGCCAGCCTGGTGGACAGAGGGAGTTCAAGGGCAGCCAAAGTACACAGAGAAACCCTGTCTCAAAAAAGTACAAAGTAAAACTAGAAGATATAGAGTAACAGAGTCATATAAAGATGGAAAATACACAGAGAGTCTGAATTCTGTATGCTATTGTGTTTTTCAGTTGTTCAATTGATAAGGAAGGAACAACTGCTGAAATATACTTGATTATAAATGCTGCTGAATTAATCCAACTTATATCTTTTGAAAATGTCTTGACTTCAAAATTTAAGTATAAGGATATGTTACTTTGGAAAAGAGATTTTATTTGTGTTTCCACAGAAAATGGAAAGCTGTGGGTTCCTTCCATGCTTCTGTGGTTTGATGAAGCAAGACCTCCTGAAGCAGTGTCCCAGGAAGTCCAACATCTAAAACAGCTGAGGTGATGCAGTCTTACAGACTACAAAAAACAAGGACTTGACCAGGTCTCTGTGTTTTGTCATGATCCCCATGGTATGGAGAGCACCCCCAACCAGCAGGACGCAGTTTGAAATGAACGATGCCCACATTCCCAAATATTGTTTAAATGTTTGTTTCCATTTAAATGGGGTTGCTTATGAATAGTTAATGATCGTAGCCAAAGGTAAAAAGGGAGATTATGGTGTAGAAGTAGTATTGGTACAGATTTTCATTTTTATACAAGTTTAAGATCAATTTTTTGTGATATGTATATTTCTCCTCTTGTTTAAGTATTATATTTATACTGATCTTTTAAAACATAATTCATAATTAAATACAGATTATAGATAGTTACCTATAATAGTCAAAACCTATAGTTAGGTTAGTTGGGTTTTCTAGATATACAGAGATGTATTTGAGATAGGTAGATAGTCTTCAAACCTTTCAAAGACCTACAGAATATATGGCATTTAAATGGTTTAGGGTTTTTCATGATAGTGAGACATAACTACTCCTGGCAAACCAATTATGTCTGAGAGGAAGATGGGCATCAAAGAAATTCGTTATGGAGTTTGCTTTCAACATGGCAAGATTAGCCATTTGAACATGAAACTGCTCTTGCTTTTACTGTTTGGTAGACTAGACATGCAGGACCCACAGGAAAGTGACTGCTGAACTTGATGGGACAGTCCTAAAGGGTTCCTGCTTCATGGAAGAGTCTGTCAGACTTTCTGCAGAAAAATGACTGACAAACTGCCAATGCAGGCAGACAGTTTAAAATTTCCTGCTTTGCTGAGAATTCTTCCAGACACACTGTGGCCTATGGGCTGAAGATGGATGCTCAACCATTACAGAGGAACTTTAGGTGACTGTCCACGTATTGAGATGTCTCTGTCAATTCTAGTGTTTATATATTGTCCTTCTGTGGTCTTTGATGGAATTGAAGACTGCTAGTTATAGCTATAGTTTTCCTTAGTTATGATAAAAGATAAGTTACATATTAGACTTTAGACTCACACAAATAGGATGATAAAATACTTTCTTTAAATCTTACTAAATGTTAATGGACTAAATATTGTAACTATGGTTTTACTCGGTAACTGTTCTGCAATGTATAATTTGACTATGTTAAAGTTAAAACCTTTATTTTTATTTAGACAGAAAAGAGGAGATGATGGGAGAAGTCCTCCCATGTATATGTTAATAAAGCACTGTTGGTCAACAGGGAAGCAAGATAGGTGGGACTAGGAGTCAAGGAGGATTCTGGGAAACAGAGGCATGGTCAGTCACAATGTAGGACACCAGAGGAGTAAGAAGTCCAGACCCTTTCTCCAGTAAGAGAAGACCACGTGGAAATACTCAGTGTAGCAGTTATGGGCTAATAATTAAGTCAGAGCTAGCCAATAAGAAACCAAGCAAACAGCCAACAGCTTCATAATTAATATAGTGTCCTGTGTGTTCATTTGGGACTGATGCGGCTCTGGGACCAGGCTAGCTGGAAGAATGCACATTACACAGCACCCCAAGGTTTCCTAAAAGCTCTCTACAAGCAACATAATGGCATGCCAGAAGTATGAGCTCTTAGCCTAAGAAGCAGTTTCTACCAACCAGAATCTTCTTAAACACATGGGACATGAGCCACTTAGGGACTGAGCTTTGGGCAGGGGAGGGCTTTCCTAAGGACATGAATTACAGGCTTTCCCTGGTTTCTTACCTTGTTTACACAAGGGGTATAGCCTGTGCTCATATCAATACTACCTCAAGTCTGATCATAGAGAAACCATATAACATTCATTACATGCTCGGTGTGTCCCTACTCTTCTCATTTGCAGCACAGCAGTGACACTGAGTCCTCTGTTTGGCGCAGCATTGGTGCGATCAATAGAATAACAAGCCCAATCTATCACGGGGCTGTGGCATTCCAGTGGCTCATGGCCCCGTGCTGCTCAGCCTCCATTAGAACAAGACTTTAACGTGAAGTAGTGCACACTATTTCAACATGAAATGCAGAGGTTTCATCAACAGAGACCAGGACTGATAGCAACCAGTTAGCTGGCTCCTCCATTGAGAGGAAAAAGAAAAAAGCGTTGAGCCTTTTGTTTACATTATAGTAAGAACAAGACAGACCCATTTCTTGGCAGAGTTTCCTTTCCCTTTCTATGTCCTTTTCACAGTCATGTAGTTGAGCAGATCTTGGCATCATATAGCAAAAAAGTGGCAGACACTTAAAACTGAATTGCAAAGAAAGGGTTGAAAATTCAGGTGTCATGGCTGGGATACGTGTCCCCCAAAGTCGATTTTATCAATTTTATCCAAGCTTGAGTGGCATTATTACAAAGCGTTTGGACTCGTAAGTAGAGTTTGGTGAGAGTAAGTGAGGCTGTTCCCTTGAAGGGGACACTGTGACTCAGGCCTCTTCCTGCCTTGCACTCTGGGCTTGATTAATTGCCTACCTCAAGACCCTCAAAATAAGCCAGTCTACTCTGCTCTGAAATCTCCCAAACTAGGAACCGGAATACTTTTCCTCCTTGTAAACTGATCGTCCTGGGTATCTGTTTCAGTTGCAGAAAGCCGACCAACACAAAGGGGGTATCATCAAAATTTCATGAGTATGAGAAACTGCCCTCTTGACCCTAACTTGTTGGGGGGGGGAAAAGAATTTAAAACCAGAAAAAAATGGTAAGCTAGAACTGAATAGTGAGGGCAATACAAGTCTCATGTGCCAGGCGCTTAGTCTTTTCACATACTTTGGAGGTTGTCAACTACTATTTTTTTTATTACTTCAATTTTTAAATAGCTTGCTTCACATGTCACTCCCAGTTCCCTCTCCCTCCCCTCCTCCTGCACCCCCCACCTTCCCCCCCAGCCTCCCACCCTATCCTCACTTCCTTCCACATAGGGGATATCCAGAGTCTGTCATTTCACTCAGGGCAGGGTCCAGGCACTCCCCTAAGAGTCCAGGCTGAGAGATCATCCCTTTTTGTGTTATGGACACATGAAGTCCGTTTGCATGCCAGGGATAAACACTGATCCGCTGCCCAGGGCCCCATAGGTTGCCTAGGCCTCCTCACTGACTCTCACACTCAGGGGGTCTGGATCAGTCCCATGCTGGCCTCCCAGCTGTCAGTCTGGGGTCCAAGAGCTCCCCCTTGTTCAGATCAGCTGTCTCTGCTGGTTTCGCCTGCCCATTCTTTGCCAATTTGCTCATCGCTCCTCTCTCTCTGTCACTGGGTTCCATGGGTTCAGTTCAGTGTTTAACTGTGGGTGTTTGCCTCTGCTTCCATCAGTCACTGGATGAAGGTCCTAGGGTGGCATATAGGGTAGAAGTCAAGTTCATTATCAGGAATGGACATTTAAGGTGGTCTCTCCACTATTGCTTAGCTTGTTTAAATGGTTCTGAGTGGAGAGTAACTGGAATCTCTTCTAAAAGGCAATGGTGTGTTTCCAGTGAAAGGGCTAGATTCAAAAGTCCTGCTCACCAGGACTTTTCATTTCATTTGTTGTTTTATTTTGTTTTTGTTTTTGTTTTTCAAGACAGGGTTTCTCTCTGTGTAGCCCTGGCTGTCCTGGAACTCACTTTGTAGACCAGGCTGGCCTAGAACTCACAAAGACCTGCCTGCTTATGTATCCTGAGTGCTGGGATTAAAGGTTTGCACCACCACCACACAGATTTCATTTCTATTTTTTTTTTGGAAAGTTTGAACAAACAGATACATCAGATACGTTAGATGTGGGTTTTATTGTAAAACCATTCATTGTACATAAGTCAACAATAATCCCTGAGAAACATCTGCCAACTGCTGCCATCTGCCTAAAACATTCTGCTCAGGGAGGCCGTAACTGTCTAGGAAATATTGTCTAGGAAATACAATAACAACCACATCTTTCTTAATTTTTAGTGGTTTTTCCTGAGAAGTATTTCCAGGGTTTATGTCTTTTAGATCACAGGGTCCATAAAAGGAACTATTCCATTAAGATTTGGAAACACGTTACAGAAACTCTACCTGATATGTCCACATTTCCATTTACTAATTAATTAATGCCAAATACACACTGATTTTAGCAAGGCCAACAAGAGTTTTGTTTTGTTTTCTGTTCTTGGAAGAAGCATGTTTTTTTCCCCACTGGGCCTAAAGCAATTGCTAGTTCTGGGGTTCATGGAAGAAAGGAGGTGTTCCGGAAGGCCAAGCTCGCCACAAATATGGAGGGAGTGTTATCAGATGCAAGCGTCAGATATACTAAGTGTGCTGCCTGATGTGAATCCTCACTGAGTCTCCAAGAAGGGTTCTCCTAAGTTTCTGCATGGCTCCCTGGCAGTACAGAACCTGCTCTAGACTGTGACTAAATTATATCGGGACTGAATCATCAGGCTAACTTTCAGACCTACGGGGCTGTCCCCATTGCTAGAGAGATGGAGATGGGCCTCTATGAAACCCTGGATAGGAAAGACTGTCTATAACTACAATTGAGAGGAACCCAAACCATGGTAGAAAGCAACTTCAATTCAGACTACCACCTGTAGCTGCCTCCATGGGTGTGAATAGGTTGACACTGGGCAGGCTATGAAGAGTTCAAACTAAATCTTGCTTCTTTAACATTTTCACTAAGACTGTATCTGACTTTGGTACTTTGACTTCTCTCTTTCCAATTTGCATCCCCTTAGTCTCCTTCAGTTGTCTTATTGCTCTAGCTATAAGTTGAAGTACTATACAGAAACGATATGGAGAGAGTGGTCAGCCTTGTCTTGTTCCCAACTTGGGTGGAAGTCCTTTGAGTTTCTCTCCATTTAATTTACCATTGGCTGTTGGCTTGCTATGAATTGCCTTTATTATGTTGAGATATGTCCCCTGTATTCCTGATCTCCCCAAGACTTTTATGATGAAGGGTGTCAGATTTTGTCAAAGGCTTTTTCAGAATCTAATGAGATCACCGTGTGTTTTTCTTTTCTTTCAGTTTGTTTATATGATGGGTTACACTGATTAATTTTCATAGGTTGAACCATTCCTGATTTTCTGGGATGAAGCCTACTTGATCATGGAGGATGATCTTTTTGATGTGTTCTTGGATTCAGTTTGCAGTATTTTATTGTGTGTTTCTGCATCTTTATTAGTGAGTGAAATTGGTCTGTAATTCTCTTTCTTTATTGAATCTTGGTGTGGTTTGTGCATCAGGGTGACTGTGGCCTCGTGAAATTAATTTGGCAATGTTCTTTTTGTTTCTATTTTGTGGAATAATTTGAAGAGTATTAGCCTTGTCACTTGTTTACAAGTCTAGTAGAATTCTGTACTAAAAATGTCTGACCCTTGGCTTTCTTGGTTGTGAGACTTTTAATAATCACTTCTATTTTCTTAGGGCCTATTTAAATTGGTTTATTTTATTTGTTACTAAATGTTTTATACAAATTTATTATTAAATTTAAATACATCTATTTAAATTGTCTGATCTTGATTTAACTTTGGTAAGTAGTATATAATAAGAAAATTATCCATTTCTTTTAGATTTTCCAATTCTGTGGAGTACAAAATTTTAAAGTAATGACCTAATGATTCTTTGGACTTCCTAGATGTCTGTTGTTATGTCAGCCTTTTTGTTTCTGATTTTGTTAAGTTGGGTAGTCTCTCTCTGTCTTTTAGTTTGGATAAGTGCCTGTCTTGTTGTTCTCCAAGAACCAACGCTTTGTTTCATTGATTCTTAGTATTGTTCTCTTTGTTTCTATTTTATTAGTTTCAGCCCTGAGTTTGATTATTTACTGCTGTCCCCTCTTCTTGGATGGGCTTGCTTCTTTTTGTTCTAAAGCTTTCATGTATGCTGTTAATTTGCTGGTATGAGATTTCTCCATTTTTTTTAATGTAGCCACTTAGTGTTATGAACTTTCTTCTTAGCACTGCTTTTATTGGGTACCAGTTTATGTATGCTGTGTGTTTATTTTCACTGAATTCTAGGAAGCCTTTAGTTTTTTTCTTTGTTTCTGTCTTCACCCAGTTTTAACTCAGTAGAGCTGTTCCATTTCCATTGGTTGGTAGGCTTGCTGCTGCTTCTGTTCTTGTTGAAATCCAGCCTTAACCTGTGGTTGTCTGATAGGATGTAGGGGCTGTGATTTCAGTTTTCTTGTATCTCTTGAGACTTGCTTTGTGACAAAGTATGTAGCCAATTTTGGAGAAAGTTCTGTGAGGTGCTGAGAAGAAGGTATATTCTTTTTTGTTTCGGAGAAATGTTTTGTAGATAGTTACTAGGTCCATTTGGTTTATAATGTGTGTTTGCTCCATATCTCTCTGTTTAGTTTTTGTCCAGATGGCCTATCCATCATCAAGACCAATGTATGAGGGTCAATGTAAGGTTTAAGCTTTAGTAATGTTTCTTTTACAAACAGGGTGCCCTTGCATATGGAACACAGATAATAAGAATTTGAACTGTCATCTTGGTGTATTTTTCTTTGATGAGTATGAATTGCCCTTAACAGTCTCCTTTGATTAATTTTGGTTTGAAGTCTGCTGAGAGTTGCTGGTTTCAATGGCTTTGCAAGAGGCCACAAAGAATATACAGCAGATGACAATTAATTTTCATAAGGTCATCCCTCCAGATGAGCAACTATCTAATGAAGAGAATCTCATGAAGCAAGGCTTACGAGCCCATTGCCTATGAACTGTTTGTCTCTGTCTATAATTTTTCTCATGTGCATACATTACTTCCCTAATAACAGCTATGGGTATTTTTCCCACTGCTTATGAGGTTACCTCATGAAAATATTCCATCTACGGGGTGCACATGCAGATGGTCAGAAACATGATTTCTGCTTAAGCTACATAATTCTGATGAACAAAAATAATACTAGGATATTTTTCATTACTCAGACTGACACAGGAAAATAATAGACAGCTAATCTTAGACTTCAGAACAAATTCAAAGCAAATTGGTTGCCCCTGGAGATGAACACACAAGGACAAATTCCCAGGTGTTTATCACAGAATCAAGCATGAAGCAACTTTGATAGACATAACCTCCTGCAGTAATGGACTTTCTGCAAATACTTGACCTCAAGGTTCAGTCAACTAAGTGTCTATTGTTTAAGTCCTCAATTTCCTTGTCACTTTCTTTCTGGGAGCCCTGACCATTCAGAGGTACATGCAGGGCCAAGTGTTACTCACTGGGTAGTCAGTGTGACACCCTACCCTGAGAGAACCTGTGCAATCAGTATGGTTCTGTTTCTTACTGTTTACACAAGAAGTGCTGTGTGACCCTGAAAGTGTGATTCATAATTGTTCAGTGGCTTTGCTGTAGGAAGAGAAGTGTGATGGGAGAGACGTGTGAAAGATACAGGAGGAGAGTGAATAAGCAAATGAATGGGAGAAAGTGTGTGAATGTGAGAATAGTGTGTGTGAGAATGTGTGAGTGAATGAGTTGAGTGAATGATATAGAAGAGAGACACAGCAGACATGAAGAGATGTTACAGAGTAGAGACAAGAAATGTGTGTAGAGGAGAGATATGTGGAGAAAAGAGATGTAGGCGTATGTAAAGAGATGTAACTGTGTAGAGAGATTGTTAAGAGAGGTTATTCAAAATGAAGTAAAATAGAAAGTTACTGTCAGAAAGAGTGTGTTTCCTTATTTACCCTCAGATAGAAAAGTCTAGAGAAGAATTTTTTCTAAGCCCCAACTTCTCTGAAGGCATTTCTTCTGAAACCTGGGGTGCAGCCCTGGAGCTGGTCTCCAACACTGTGGTAGAAGTCTATCTTATTAGGTATTAGAATGACTACCCCAGCTTGTTTATGTCCATTTGCTTGAAAAATCTTTTTTTTTTCAACAATTTACCTTGAGGTAACATCTATCTCTGGTATTGAGGTGTGACTCTTGCATTCAGCAGAAGGATGGATCCTGTTTTCTCATCCATTCTGTTACCCTTTGTCCTTTTTATTGGGAAGTTGAGTCTATTGTTATGGAGAGATGCAAATGACCAATGATTATTAAATCCTGTCATGGTGGTGGTGGTAGTGGTTTGTATTTGTGTTCACGCATGTGTGTTACCCTTCTTTTGGCCTCTACAAATGATCTTAAACAAACAATCTAAATTCTTGAAGCTAGGATTCATATGAGGAGAAAAGAATGGCATTTGCTCTGTGTCTGGGTTACCTCGTTGAGTATAATTTTTAGTTTCATCCATTTTTTTCTGCAAATTTATTTTTTCTCTATAGCTAAATAAAATTCCACATCTTCACTATCTGGTCATTAACTGTCAGACATCTAGGCTAATCTCAGTTCCTAACTATTGTGACTAGAACAGAAATGCACTTGGGTTCATTTGGAGACCTTTGGGTACAGGTCTGTGACTGATATTGCTGAGTCACGAGACAGTTCTAATTTTACCTCTTAGAAGTGTTGCATTGGTTTCTATAGTGGCTGCAACAGTCTACATTCTCACCATCAAAGCATTAACCCTTAAGCAGTCCAGCAATTACATCCACAGCCTAGGGCGGAGGTCCAATGAGAATAATTTAAATTAACCACCTTCTCCATAGTCCAAAATCCAGTCTTCCTGTACAGGTCTAGTGCAGACTGGGCAGAGCCATCATTTAAAAAGGCCCAATTCAGTCATGGGGCATGATGGTCATGACTGCAATCCCAGCATCACGAGACAGGGGCAAGAGAATGACAACTTTGAGAACAGCCTGGACCACATAAAGAAATCTTGTCAAGAGAAGAAGGGGAGGAGGAGGAAGAGGAAGAGAGGGAGGAAGAGAGGGAAGGAGACAAGGATTTAAGAAAGGGGGAAGAAGGAAGGGGAAGGGAGGGGGGCTGGAAGAAATGCTCAGGCTCCTTGCTCGTGACGCGTTGTGACGCCTTGTGTGGCCTTGTGACGCCTTGTGTGGTCTTGTGACGCCTTGTGACTCCTTGCCGGTGAGTGAAAGGGTGTCTTAGAGAAGTGGGCTCTGTGTGGTGTTTGCTGGTTTGGAGTCAGCTTCAGAAATCTTGCTAAGCCCTTGCCTTCTGACTAAGCGGGTTTGCATCCATTTGCTGCGGATGGAGACTACAGCTAGATAAAAGATGAACTTCTCTCGAAAGGAAGAGTAGAGTCGGGAGGCCTCTCATTGGCTCAAAATGTACCTCCACGGACGACCAAAGGATGGAAAGCGGTGTTTGCTTTGTGCTTTTATCTGCAGTCCTCAGCTGCCTTCCCTCTGCACCCGTGAGACATGGAACCGTGTGTCTGCAGAGACCGCCTACTGCACCACCCGCAGGAGGCGCACGGGGAGGGAAAGGCACCATCCTCTCTTTGGTGAACCCAGCTGTTAATGTTGCTCCTTCCTCCAAAACTCACAGCACCAGCTGGGGCTGAGCCTGCGGGGGACACTCCTTATTCAAACCACGGGTTCTAAGGACGAAAAGCAGCCTTCTCTCAGTTCCTTTCGCTCCGAACCTTCTACAGTTTTTCTCTAACACCTCAGTGATATCCCTTAATGTCTTTTAACTAAGGGAAGCCCACTTCACCCCCGCAATAGCTGCTCGGTGATTCATTGGTGGAGGTGACTTACCTGCGTGTAGTGAGAGATCCACCCTGCCCACACCTGTAGCACTGACCGCGCCCATCTGGGCGTGGTCACAGGTGAGGACATGATGGAGGAGAGGACTAGATCTGGGGTCCTGGACCCCAGAACACTCTCTTGTTTCTGGGTGGGTCACAGAAGAGCAGCCTGTGCGATTCCTTAGAGTGGGAACCTGTGGCTGCCATCTGTTTCTTCTGTAACTGACTTCTCCCCAAAATAAATTATATTCAATATTAATTGTCCATTCCTCTGCACCTGTTCACATATTGACCAATGAGACCTGAAGAGGCTTGTATGCAATTAAAAATCATAAAAGTTTCTTTTTACTATTCTGCTCTTGTCCTATAAATGATTATTCCAAAATTTTATTTCAGTGTAAGAAATGTGCAGTGCAATTTTACTGGGGCCTTGGAATCATTTCACTTGTTTCTCAGAAAAATCTAGCATCATTTGATCATTATTTGTCACGGGACCATTTTAGTGACAAAAAGTGTCAAATACACTTGACTGTGTCTTCCATGACCTCTGTTTGAGGATGAGACGTTGTTTGAGGATGAGACGTTGTTTGAGGATGAGACATTGTTTTAGGTTAGACTTTGCTCCTCTGATACCATGCACCAGCTAATGCCACCATCCATGAGTGGCATCTCCCGTGGCCAATACTTAGGCGAGTGCTGTTACCCTAGCTTGGGATGTGTGACTTGAAAGTGGCCGCTCTAACTTAGTCTCCTTATGTCTACAAGTAGAATGAAAATGCCCCTTGTATGACCCTGCCCTGGAGAGAGGGGAGAAAGAGGAAAGATGGGAGGGAGGAAGAGAGAGAGAGTGCAGTCTTAGCACACGAAAGGGTTGTGAGGCATTCCCACTAGTATGGGTGTTTGGAATACAAGGTGCTCTGCACGCTCATGAATCTGCATACAGTGCAAGGAACAAACAGACGAGAAAAACCAGGACCAGCAAGATGGCATCGTGGGCGGAAGCATGGACATGCCCAGCAAACCAGCCATCCCGACTGGAACTCCAGAAAGTGTGTACAGGTGGGAGAAAAGTTGAAAAGAAGTGACTCCACCAAGTTTCCTTCTCAGAGTCACAGGCACTGCGTGTCATGGGTGTCACACTCACACACACCCTCACACACACACACACTCACACACTCACACTCACACATACAACACACTCACTCGTACGCACACTCACACACACTCACATACTCACACACAATCACAGCACACTCACACTCATACACACACTCACACACTCATACACACACTCACACACTCATACACACAGTCACAACACACACTCATACATTCACACACTCACACTCACATTCACACACTCACACACACTCACAACATACACATTCACACACTCATGCACAGTCAGTATACACAATAATAGTAATAGTAATCAAAACACCTTAAACCCTCTGACTTAAAAATTAATATTTTACTTTAACCTCTCTTTTGAAATTTAGAAAAACTTAGGAAAAGTCTTGCCAACACTACGTATATTTAGGGGAAATCCAATCGTGAGGTTTTTATGTGCTTCTCTTCAAGGAGTAGGAAGAGACTGCTCAGTTAAGCCTGGCACAGTAATGTAAATTTTTAATCTCAGCACTCAGGAGCCAGAGGCAGGTGGATCTCTGTGAGTTGGAGGACACCCTGGTCTACAGCACAAGTTCCAGGACAGCCAGGGATATGTAATAGAATTTATTTGGATTGTCATACGATGGGAAGGGAGGGAGCAGGGGAGTGGAGAGCAGGGGGTGGAGAGCAGAACGACAGGACAGGACAGGACAGGACAGAACAGGACTGTACAGGACACAACAGGACAGGACAGGACTGGACAGGACTCCCTTGCATTTTCAGATGTTGCCACTAGATGGCACACGGACACCGATAAACCAAGGAATCTCTATGCGGGTGACAAATACAGCATCTGAAATGCAAGAAGAGAACTCAGAGAGGAGCACCCGTGACAACCAGGAAATCACCCTCTTCTCCATGGTGCTGTGAACTCGATTCCTTGGGCTGCCACACACCGAAACAACCAGGGTGCACCTGCTGTGGGCCATTCTCCAGCAAAGACTGCTTGGACGAGGGTTTAGGTCAATAGAAAGATGTTATCAGCAGGCCAGTGACTACACCGGAGTCAGTTTTGTGCGGAGGTCTCAGGGCATACCGAGGTCTGGGGCCCTGTGGCACACGATCCTACAGTTTGGAGGCTGGAGTTCAGAAAGTAGGCGTTAGGGTCATTTCCTTCGTGAGGATCCGGGTCAGAAAACAAGATATCTGAGAAAAATAAGTGAAGGCGGTCATTACAAACCACAAAACCACAGGTGAAGTTAGTGTAAGAGCAAAGACGGGTTTTTTCTGACTCAGAGACCCAGGCTGAGCAAGACTGGACCAGTGTTTTGCATTGAGGTGGGCTGGGGCTTTCAGCCAGCCTGTTGGCTAGAAACTGAGGCAACTGGCCACCCCTTAGTTAGCACTCCAGGGTTGTACCTGAGCAAGTCAACCACACAGAGGCCAGGTTCAGAGCCTGAGGCGTCACATCACAGAGGTGTCTGATAGACCAGAAATATTCAGTTCCTGGCTAGGATGTGTAGAGGAGGAAGTCAAAGGGTCTGGGGGTCACACGGTCTCCTCTGAAGCCCAACCCCAATGTCCCCAAAACGACCTGCTAGGGAGTGGGCATGGCGACATAAGCCTTTAGTCCTAACACTCCAAAGGCTGAGCAAACAGATCTCTGTGAGTTCAAGGCCAGCCTGGTCCACTAAGTGAGCTCCAGGCCAGCCAGCTGGAAGCAAACATTAAGACTCTTATCTCAAATAAATAACAAAAATGAAAAGGAAATCTGTGTTAGGCCTGATCTCACAACATCATCAACCCATGACCCTTGGTAAAGCACGGAAGTCCCAAACTTCAGAAGGGAATCATAGCTGTCTAAGCTCGTTGGGATGCTTGGACCAGGGATGGAAAGTTCTGAGCCCCCAACAAGCTTCAGAGGGTAGAGGGCCCTCGGGATGCAGGCCTGGAACACTCAAGGTCAATCTCCAGTCTCACAAGGTAACAGAGGACAATTGATGTCAAAGGTTGTCGTCTGGCCTCTGCCATTAAAGGGAAACCGTGCATTTTTGTTGTTGTTGTTGTTGTTTGTTTTGTTTTTATTTGTTTTTGGTTTTTTGAGACAGGGTTTCTCTGTATTGCTTTGGAGGCTGTCCTGGAGCTCGCTCTTGTAGACCAGGCTGGCCTCGAACTCACAGAGATCCGCCTTCCTCTGCCTCCCGAGTGCTGGGGTTAAAGGTGTGCGCCACCACGCACTTTTTATTGGGACAGTAGGAAATAGTTCAGACATGTCCAGCACAGGTTCTAGGATGCAAAACTGCAAGCCCATCTAAACTCCCAGGTCCGGCTCCATCAGAACCTCAGGTCCAGCTCCATCTGAGCTCCCATATTCAGCTTCCCAAGCTCATAGAAGCTGCAACAGCCTTGGTCCAAGGAGGCTAAGCTACAGATTCACTGGAGGTGAACCTCGATGTGGTCCACCTGGTGGTGGTTTTATAGGCATGAAGAATGCAAGAGGTATGAGAGGAGGCGCCCACCCCGTCCAAGCTTTATTACAGTCATGTTTCTGGGACAGAGCAGTGCTCGCACAGAGTTGGGCTCTCTGTGAAAAGCACCTGGTGATCCGTGATGCTGTGAGGGTGACGCCTAAGCTGCGGTGGAGGCCCACAGATGTGGGAGATGCCGGGCAGCTGATGGCACAGAGAGGGTCCCAACCAAAAGAAAAGCCACGTGGGCTGCGCATGGGAAGACCGCAGACGCAAGACCGCCTATGCCCATTGAAACTCGGTACCCAGCATAAAATGAGACGATGTCCCTCTGACCCTGCACTGATCAACCCTTTCCTTCTATCTCTCCAGTTCTCTGCTCGCAGGTTGGAAGGTTTACTCTGTGACATTGTGTATTGGAAGTACATCCCTTGCTATTTGATATTACAGGGTCCCACAGCTACAAGTTTGTTTCACTTCTCAGTAGAAACTTTGGAGTCTGCGTTTTTGAGCAGTACTGGAACTCAAGACTACAGGGATTCAAAGTCGAACCAAATGCATGCTTTTTTTTTTCTTTATGTGATGATTAGAAGCCTTTCGGGAACCAGGGGAAGAATATTATTATTTCAATCGGAAATGTCACCATAGGCTGTTTTGCATGTCCAGTCCCTTGTTTGGGGTGTATTTTAAAGATTGCAGTACCTTTCCCGGAGGAAGG